GACCCCTGTTAATTGGTCAGCACAGGTTTCTACCACTTTCCCCAACACCCCGTCTGGAGCTGCAGCTTTGTTGGGATTTACAGCCTTCAGCTCAGCTCTCACCTGAAGTCCATCCAGGGTGAGTGGCTGGAGGTCAGAGGGCCTTTGGTCTAGTGCCAGAGAGACTGATCTTTTGAAATGACTTCAATTTGATCATTTAAATTATTATTTTCTATTTCTCATTTTAAGCATAACCACAGTAAAGCCTCCCAGATCTGATCATTTACATATCTTGATTATAAAAACATTTACACTTAAAATTTACAATCGTTTCCAAATCTATTTGGGATAATGGAGCGGCTAAATCTTTGGGCTAAAGATAACTTGCATAGGTATTTCTGACTGGCAATGTTTTGAATATTGAGACACGGGTGAAGGTTACCTTGTTCAAGAAGAGTTACTGCAATAATATACAATAGGAAGTAAATTTGGGGATTTTAAAAACTGCATTGTCTTACTCCTAAAATTAATGAAAGAGTTTTAGATTGCTGAAAAAAGGTTTGGTGCACAAATGAGGATAACATTTGTTTTCCAAATTTTATGGAAAGTGAACCATGTGACTCTGTTATTAGCTACATGTCAGGTTAAAGAGAGTGAATTATTTGAGGAATTGAATGATCTTGTGCCACCAAGCCATTTTCAACTCCTAGTGACTACACAGGTAGATTTCAAGATTTAGGAGGTAGGGGGGAAATGGAGGTATTATTAAAACTCGATGTTAATGAAATGAAATGTTTTCTGCTGCTTTAAATATTCTTCTGGGTTTTTTTTTCACCATCTCACTACTATCAGTGGACTTATTAAGAACACTTTGCCTCTTTCCGAGCAGTTAAAAAGCTTTTTTGTTTGTTTAATAACTACTCCGTTATCACTTAAGCCCCCAGAGCCCACTGTCCACAGAAACTCCTGTGCACCAGGCTGCGTTAGGCTGCCAGCCAGATTCTTCCAGGAAATTGGCCGACTCCTCCTTTCCCACTGGAGAACTTGCTTTTCAATGGGCATATGGCACATGGAAGAGAATTTTTGAAAATGAAGCCGTCACAACAGCAGAGACTAATTTTGCAAAACATATAAACACAAGTATGGTTATTTCAAAAAAACCTGATACTTTTTAAGTAGTCTGCAATGAAATCCAATACAGTTTCTCGGTGCTGCTTCACTTGTAGGGAATGGATGTCCTTGTGTGCTGAAATGAAAAGATACAGAAGCTTATTTTTCCCAAAGGAGCTCTGCGCCCTTCCGGCTAAAGCCCCACATGGAGCTTAAATTACCTTCTGCTCTGAGCTGCTGAATCGCATCAGCACAGGTCCTCATGAAGATCTGGGCATCTTGGTCAATCTGATCTCGATCCGTGTCCGACATTCGCACGTACTCCGACATGAGGTGGCTGGGAAAGACAGCCGATAGTTCAGCCATGTTTTCTGAAGAAAAGCTCAGTACTTTGCACAATCTTTAGAAAAGGATAATGAATGTTGACTATGGAAATTGATTCCCTGCCTCGGAGCTACTCTTAATGTAACGCCCAACTCAGTCATGGGGTCATTTGAGTGAACAGAAGAAGAAGAGAGGGACTGCAGCGCAAACTTCCTTATTCTAAATGAATTCTCACATTTCTGCTCCTTTCCCATTTTTTTGTGACATTTGTTTACCTGACACAATAAGGAGGGCCTATTAAAATAATTAGAATTATCAGAATTCGCATAAGCGAATTCTTGTTTATTTATGTACTTAGAGGGCCAGGCAACCAGAACAATCAAGTGGCAACCAGGGATTCCTGTGTGTTATATTCCCTCCCCCCCCCCACTTGAAAACTATGCCTCCTGATGCCTTTATTACCATTCCAGGAGCCTCCCAGAGGAAGGCTGGCAGCGACATATTAAAATGCCCCCAAGCATCAGCCAGGATCCAGCCCTTAGAACAGCCCTCCCGCTGACAGTGTATAAACTCTTTTTTGCCTGCGCCAAGGACAATTAAGCTCTGTACCACTAAATTCAGTGTCAGACTGGGCAACTGGCATGGGAGAACTGATTCATACGTATTTTTTCTCACGATTATCAATTTTCACTTTTTCAATCATGACACTTACCTATAAGCATTAATATAATCTTTCCGGTGCTGCAGAAGAAAGTCTTTGAGTTTCCCAATGTTATTAACCTAAAATGAATGAATAGTAAAAATTAACAGATTAAGCAGAGTAGGAAGGGATCTTGTAGGTCATCTAATCCAACCCCCCTCAGCCCAAGCAGGAGACTCTACACCGTTTCTGACAGATAGAAGTCCAGCCTCTTCTGGAAAGCTTCCAGGGATGAAGCTCCCACAACTTCTGGAGGCAACCTCTGTTCCATCAGTTGAGTCTTCTCATTGTCAGAAAACATCTCCTTATTTCCAGGTTGAATCTCTCCTTATTTCCAGTTCCCATCCATTGTTTTCTTGCCTGGCCTTTGGGTGCTTTGGAAAACAGGTTGACCGCTTCCTCTGTGCGGCAGCCTCTCAAATATTGGAAGGCTGCTCTCCTGTCTCCCCTGGCCTTTTTTCTTCACTAGACCAGCCCCCCCTCCTTCCCTGCTCACCAGACCCACTGCTGTCAAGGAGGGGGCAGGGGCTGAGCTACTGCCACTTCTCTGGGCAGGGGGGAGGAGGAGGAGGAAGAGGAGGAGGAGGAGGAGGAGGGGTGGTGGTGGTGGTGGTGGTGGTGGTGG